GCCGCCACGATGATCAATCTCTACATGCTTTTTCTTCTCCAATTGACTGTAAAAATCGATTCTCTACTGTTTTTCTTCACGATTTCGCTATTGAATTTGTTTTTATTTCGCTAGATTTAATCTCAGTCATCGATGATGATGGCAGATCGGCGAGCTTCCTCAGCTTGTTTTTATCCGAGTTTTGCACATTCGCTCTGATTATTGGAAAAAGTGGAAAGAGAAGATCGAGTAGATTAAAAGACCTCGACCAATTATGGGAGATTGAGAAAAATTCGGCTGAACTGATGGGGAGGATCGACTCCGGCATGCGAACATGAGACTCTCTTCCGGAGGGTGAAGACAGTGAGAGCTGGACCTGTGTCTCCACATATGGGCTTGGCCGAAGATAGGCAGACTAGTGGACTGGATTGAGGCTGAAGACGAATAAAAGAATGGGATTTCGGCCCAAAACCATGAAAGAATTTTTAAAAACTTTTTCAATTATGGAAAGCAATTCTAATGTTTCAATTTATTGCTCAGCTCTTAACAGATGTTGTTTCCATGAGAAAACATTTTTATCCGTTTCAACGCATGGGCAAATTTTGTAGTCTAATAAAAAAATACATAAGGCTTTCGGTTTTTTCCTGGGCCACCTGGTTTATTTTATTTTGTCGACGATCAATTTTCTTTGCACGCGGAATGGTTTTCTTTTTTTGCGTCCATGGGGCTTCCCCTTTTTCTTGGTCTTTTTTTCTTTCAGTTAGTTCATTTGGCACGCGCGGAAAGGTTCTTTTTGCAAGCATCTGCCTTTTTTTTATAACCGTCGCCGGGCCGAATCCTAGCGCTGCCGCCAAGCTGAGCTCTATAGCCGCCATCGTGGCGTGTGCACTGCCATGTTCACCTTTTCACCACCACCGGTGGCAGCGGCAGCACGCAGTTCTCGTGGGAGGATAAGGCCATCGGCCACATCGTCAGGCCATTGTCAAGCAAGCACCTCGGCGGCTCGTGGTACCTGTACGCCCTGGGTGGGAAGCTGGTCGTGTTCGACGGCACGACACCGAGAACTGGGACGTGATCTGACGAAGGTGGAGTACTTAGCCATGCTGCCATCGAACACGACCAGCTTCCCGCCCGACGCCTACAAGTACCAAGAGCCGCCGGCGTCGCCAAGGGGGTGCATGTATGACAATGACCCGGCGATGTTGCCGATGGTCTTCTCCTCTCACGAGAACTGCACGCTGCCGCTGCCACCGGCGGTGAACAAGGCGGCGCGCATGCCATGAAGTTTGACATGCCGACGCGGCCACCGGCCTCCTCTGTCTCCGCGCCATCGGCAAGGTAGGCTCTCAAGAACTTGCAGCTGCCGCTACCGAAGCCTTGTCCCACCGATGGAGGGATGACCTACTTGTACTGCTGCCTCAGGGCCTCGCAGACGAGCAGGCTCCAGAAGCCATCGTCGGCATGTGACCTTGCGAAGCCCAAGAGGAGGAGGCACTCTTGGCTGTCCATGATCCTCCATGACGACTACGGCTGCAAGCCGTCGACGATGTCTTGGACTAGGAGGAAGTTGAGGGAGAAGTGGCTGTCGTCAATGGCCGGTGCTGACACCGGTGATTGTGCAAACGAAGTGATGTTTTCGGGGTTATAGTAGTAACCAGCGATGGTGGGGGCGTGGAGGGAATGGAAGCGGTGGAGGAATCCAGCATCAGCGGCAACGATGCGGTGCCATTGCTTGCACGTGGAGGCGATACGATGAGGGAGACGGTGGAAGCGATGCTCAGGAGAGCTCGACGAGGTCGTCGGGGATGTCCATAGTTGGCTAGCTAGTTTTTTGCAAAAAATTAGCGATCAAATCTGGTTTTTCCCTGATCAAATTATTAGGTGTGTTATTGTCTACGACTCTGTGCATTAGAAATTTAGAGTCCGTTTTGCATTGGAAAATTGACACTGTAGTTATATTGTTTTTCTGGTTACTACGAGAAAGTAGTATTTATCATACGATCATCTAATAAACTAGCAAATACCTGTGCGTTGCAACAGGTAAAAGAAAGATTATAATAAACATTAGATGATTGAGTTTTAATTCGTGATCTAAGCTAACATTTTTGTATTTAATTCTTTAATGAAACATTGCATTTGATTTCATATTGCGCGCAAGAGTGTACCTTGGTGGAAGAAACTTTTTCAAGAAAAGTGACATATAAAATAACTTTGTTTAAAAAACCAACCGGTTCATCAAGGGCCTGTTCGTAAGTGCTTATTGATCATATTCTAGATGCAAATTGTTTACTTATTAACATGATGAATTGCCTATCCATAGCAACGGGTGAATGCAATTAGGGTTTGGGGGTGGTAGCGGCTGAGAACGATCGTGCCTGTGAGCAAGAGCGAGAGGGTGGAGCTGACATACTTCTTAAGGGCACCAACGAAACAAGGATCCAGGATGCAGAGGGCGACAACATCTACAACAGCCAGAGTAGGGGACAACTTCTATCACGATGATGTTGAGCAGGTCAGTAGCCCTTCTCCCCCACTCCCACCTTCCCCGCAGCCACACGCGCACATGAATGCCTTCTCTCCTCTAGCGTCGCCGCCGGCCGCAGCTGAGCCTTGCACGGCTGGCGAGAAGGTGCGAATACCGAACAGCACCGGTGAGCTCCCCCTCCCCCTTTACTCCTCCTCAAGCCAGCGGTTGCAAGATGACCCTACCCTGCTGTCTTCCCCATCTATGGTGGCTTCCTGCTGCTGGATCCACCACCTTCGACTGCCGATGCCGGCCCACCACCCTCCGTCATCCCTGCAGCGACGATGGTACCGCTACTTGCGTCGCCGCCCTCCCGAGTCCACAGCCTACCATGGGTCCTCCCGCGCTCATGGCAATCCCTCTAAGCCCTAGGGAAAATCCCCTTTTCTACCTCTCTGCCCCTTCCCCACCACCACCATTGTCTCGCCAGAGCTAGAGAAGGAGGTCATCATAAATATTTGTGCCGATAAGATAGTTCAATGGATGAACCAATGATTAATGACGTTGTTTTAATTAAGAGTGTCCTATATGGAGAAGTAAAATTTACTAGCAATCAGATAATTATCCAATGCTCAGATTTAATCGAACAGTTCATACAACACATATTCTCTCATCTAATGGCTGTTGTAATACTGATGATATGGCTGCACTAAATCACAGCTAATGAGGATAGTGAAGTTGCATTTATCCCCTAGTGGGTTTTGGTGATTAATGATGAATAAGGTTAAGGGACTAATGTGTTTATTGAGATATTCAGGTAATTAGTCCCAAGGTGAACTTAGGTGATCAATAGATGCTTGGAGACCCCCTACAACATTCCTTCAAAGCGGATTTGAAGCTCAAAGGTCAATAGGATAGTTTATTTTTTGAAATCGAGTTTTAGGAAAAACCGTACTATTAAGAGAGGTTCCAGGTGTGGTTCTGAGATATAAAAAGTGCTCTTAGTGGGTTTGTAGTGATAGAATATTTTTGGGAGCCATTTTTGCAAATGGGTCCAGACCGGACAGAGAAGGTTGGCCGGAAGTTCCGGTCCCTGGACCTGGAACTTCTGGACCCTGCATCGGGTGAAATTTTCCTAAGTGTTGGCCGAAAGTTCTGAGGGTCAGGAACTTCTGGACCTCTTCCAGTTCAAAAATGTGAGTAACGGCTAGATGAAGTCACCTAGCCGTTATATATATCCAGATCGCACCCAGCTCACCTTTTGGCCATTTCACTTCAGTTCTTTCATGCCTTAAGTTGTTCTAACCTCTCCCAAGATCCCTTTGCTTCCTCCACTCAAATCTAGAGCCGTTCTTGTGAGATTGAGAGAATATATGAGAGTGTAGGAGTGATTTGGAGAAGGTTTGAAGACTAGTTGTGTTTGAGCACTTTGGATATCTTGTGGGCTATCACTTGGGCTTATTACTTTTGGAGATCTTCTTCTAGACGGTTAGGTGTCGCCCGTGAGCTTCCAAAGATCTTGTGGATTTTCCGGGAAAGTTTGTGAAGGTTTTCCTTACCTCCGGAAGGAAACGAGGTGAGTAAAGATTCTTATGCTGAGATTTCAGAGGTTCTCCTTGGTAGAGCAACTTGCACTTGTGGTCTTTTCTAGAATGATTTGTGAGTTGGATCTTGGTGGTCACTCAAATTCTAGAAAATGACCTACATTACCAGGGATTAGGCTTTCAGTGATGAACTCTAGTGATGAAACCCTCACTTCTCACTAGTAAGTGGTTGTATAGTGACAAATTATTTTGTTGTCACCATTGGACGGATATCTAGTGACAAACTGTTTTGCCATCACAATTCCTCCTATTACTAGTGAGAAAATGTGTTTTTATCACAAAAGATGTAAACAATGATGACCCAGTTGTGAGAATTTCGGGTCTGGTCACTATTCTATTAAAAAACAGTGATAAACTACCCTGTAATCACTAATCATATCAATCGTGAGGAGTGAATGGTGATGAATTAGAGTGCTCTCACTATCTTGAAGATACCTTGTGGCAACAAAGTTGAATCGTTGAGACAAGTACCTGTGATGAATAAAAGTATTCACTGTTTGGTTCTAGTAGTTATTAAGTTAAGTACACCATCACTAACCTCCTTTTCATCCCTCTCTACCGCTTTGACTGTTCAACAGTCAGGCTCACGCAGAGCAGGCAGCACCGCAGCAGCACCCGGCGGCCGAAGGCATGAGCCTTGGCACGATGGAAGGATTGCAGGCCAAGACGCTGAGGCTGCTATTGAAGGTAGAGCTGCTGCAACATCAGGCCCCGTAGTGGTGGCTACAGGAGCTCTGCGACCTCGATCCGACGGCAGGTGCACGGCGAACTCGATACGGTGCGGCGGGGTCGTGGCGAGATCCATCCTGCATTCGAGTTGCGTCGAGCTCAATCCAAAGCTTCAGAGGGAGGTTGAGCAGTGGTAGTGGGACGCGGCACGATCGGAGCACGAGTGGTGGACGCAGGCGCACCCCGAGCTTACTGACGGCAGAACCAGCAGTGGTAAGTTCCATTTCATCTGCTTGGTGCTGCCGGCTACTATATCTTGATGCTTTGTTGATTAGTACCATGGATTGGCTGGATCTATGTGAGCCAAGCCAAAACAATAGATTCGAGTGGGAGTTGCAGTACTGCAGTGGTATGGAAAAGGGGAAGTCAGTTCAGTCAAAAAAACAAAAGGGGAAAACCGAGAGGGAAACATAGGGTAAGGTGAGGAACGTGGGAGAAATACTCCTGAGCAGATGGATACACAGATGTGTCCAGATCCCTATCCTCTTTATCTGAAAAAAGCTATTATCCAACATGGTCAGCTGTTCAAGGAGTATGGATTATATATCTGACCGTGACTTACAGAGTTGCAACAGGGCCCAATACTTAGTAGTACATGCTAGTTTCTACTAATCAGTCAAATAGGCCTCAATATGGATTAGTTACATTTCATAATCTGCAAGAAATTAATTTACTTAGTATATTGTATTAAACATAGGCAATTAATGTCCTCAATATCAAAGAATTGTATTTCAGGCCAACATATTTTTGCTGTGTTTGTGTAAATTTGCAGTAACATGAATATAGTTTATAAATTAACTGTCATCTACATCTTCTTCAGTTTGGATGTCACTTTCATCATCTGTATCTGTATACTCAGCGCCATCACTTTCAGAATCTTCCTCTTCTTCTTCTTCCTCTTCAAACAGATCATCTTCAGAATGTGTTACTGGTTCTGCTTCAATGGGTTCACATTCGACTCCATCTTTACTGAGAACCGTAGGGAAGTCACCATCATCAATTGTAGTGTAATTCAATGCAGCCGTGATATGCTCATTCTCTTGGCATGCTTCAGAACTAGACTTATTTGATAAAGTTGGATCATTTTCTTCTTCTTCTTCTGTAGGAGGAAAGTCATACAAATCACGTGGCTTCGTCTTGACTACAACAAACCATTTAGGGTCTCTAGTATCTTTGACATAATATACTTGCTCAGCTTGTGTTGCCAAAATATATGGCTCATCAATTGGCACTGTACGGGAAGTATTAATTAAGGTAAATCTATGCTTGTCCTCTTTTACTCCCCTTTTAGTGTGTACATCCCACCATTCACATTTAAACAATATGACACTAAAAGTACCATATGTTAGCTTGATAATATCTGTCAAGACACCAAAATAGTCTTTGCTTCCACTGGCTTCATCACCTTTAACAAAGACTACACTGTTTTGTGATTGAACCAACTTGTCTCGGTCCCTGGTGTTAAATCTCCATCCATTAATCATATAACTTGTGTAATGGGTTACTCGAGCATCAGGACCTCTTGCTAGAGCAAACAACTCTTCTGATATATCTGGAGATCCTTTGGAATGTTTCTCAAATATCTGGAAGAATGTTTATACAGGTTACAAATAGTTGTAAAATGTAAAAAAAATACTTTTATTATGGCGTGTACATACATGATTCTTGAACCATACAAAAAATTCTTTGTCATGGCGCTTTTCCACACCTTTACTGTTCTGGATGCTAAGTTGGTCTTTGTAAATGCTGCAAGACATGTACATGTACGTTAAATTTTGACAGCATTTACATATTAGAAAATGAGAGTAAGTAGTAGTTGTTTACTTTGCGTATTCTGATATTTCTTCATAATTCTTTAGAACATATATCCGAGCTTTCTCCAACTCATTCATATCCATCTGGCAGTATTTGTTACCAAGGAGTGGCCTGCCAACAGTACCAAATATCTGAAATTTTGTACTGCTGTTGTCACTCTGCACGTCCTCGATTCGACTTGGTCGATTGATTCTTGTTTCAACTCCTTGAAGGTACATAGAACAAAAATTTACACATTCTTGCAAAATATTCTTGTTTCAACTCCTTGCAGGATTCTTGTTTGATCCTTCAGGGCGAGCTTTGTTTTTTACAAAAGACTTCAACCTTCGCAAAAACCTTTCAATGGGATACATCCACCGATACTGGACAGGTCCACCAGCAATAGCTTCCTGGGCTAAATGGATTGGTAGATGCAACATTACATCAAAGAATGAAGGGGGGAAAATCATCTCTAACTTACAGAGGGTAACAGCAATTGATGATGCAAGCTTCTTGAGAATTTCAGTATCTAATTTCTTGGAACAAATTTCTCTAAAAAAGCTACATAGCTCAATTATAGCCTCACAAACATCAGCAGGCAGAACTCCACGAATAGAAAATGGAAGGTATCTGTGTAAAAATACATGACAATCATGACACTTCATCCCTGATATTTTAGCTTTTGTTGCATCCACATAGTGTGAAATTTTTGAAGAGTATCCATCTGGCACTTTTATTTCTCTAAGGAACTCACAAAATGCTTTCTTCTCAGCTAGTGTCATTGTATAGCATGCAGGACGAAATAAGATCTTCCCATCACCAGTTGGAGGTGCATGAAGTTCAGGTCGTATTTTCATGAGTTCCAAATCAAACCGGGATTTAATATTGTCCTTTTTCTTCCCATCCAGATTTAACAAGGTACCCACAATACTATCGCAAACATTCTTTTCAATGTGCATGACATCTAGATTATGTCTTATCGATAACGTACACCAATATGGCAGCTGGAAAAATATACTTTTTTTCTTCCAAACTCCATATAATGTGCTTGAGCGTTTTCTCTTATTGTTATGTTTCCCAAATTTCACCTGAATGCATAAAGTGATGTCAACAATAATATACTACTCATATTCTTATACTCAAAGTAATACCAAATAAGGCATAGAATAGCAAATAGTATAATAATTTACTTTCAGATTGACCAGATAGGATACAAGCATAAATATATCATAATTAGTAGAGTACCTGATTGAAATTTTGATATTGACGCATAATGTCATCTCCTGACAACGCTTTTGGGGCGCTACGTCTTTCCTTTTGGCCATCAAAAGATTTTGCATTGCTCCTCCACGAATGTCTTGTTGGCAAGAAGCGACGATGTCCCATATAGCAGTATTTGTGTCCATTAACGAGCCTATGGGACCAAGTGTCCATGTGACAAGAAGGACATGCATATTTTCCTTTCGTGCTCATGCCTGATAAATTACCATATGCAGGGAAATCATTGATTGTCCAAAGCAGCATTCCCCGTAGCTTAAAAGAGGACTTTGCATGAGCATCATAGGCTGGCACGCCTTCCCATAGCTGTATCAATTCATCAATCAATGGCTGCAAGTATACATCTATGTCATTTCCAGGTGCTTTAGGCCCAGGGATAAGCATTGACATTATCATATAAGAATCTTTCATGCACATCCAAGTTGGTAAGTTATATATAGCAATAACAACTGGCCATATGCTATATGATGAGCTCATATTTCCAAAAGGATTGAATCCATCACTAGCAAGGCCTAGCCTAACATTCCGTGCGTCCAATGCGAATGATTCAAAATTCTTGTCAAAGTTCTTCCATTCATTAGAATCTACTGGATGTCTCATATATCCATCATCAACTAGCTTCTCTTTGTGCCATCGCATATGAACAGCTATTTTTGAACACATGTACATACGCTTTAATCTTGGGATCAAAGGAAAGTACCATAAAACCTTCTGCGGAACTTTCCTAGCTTTTCTCCTCCTTGACTTGCGAGCACTATTTTCTCCATCCTCTTTCCATCTTGAAATTCCACAAACAGGGCATGTTTCAGCTTTAGCATATTCACCTCTGAAAAGAATGCAGTCATTCAAACATGTATCAATCTTTATATAATCTAACACCAAATTATTATCACAAGACCACGATACCCTATGGCAGAGACATGATTTTGCTAGATGTCTAGCATCTAATATAGCATATGCTTATTAATTTTTTTTAGATAATGAGCATATGCTTATTAATGAACCAGCTCACGAGCTGAGCCAAGCTAAGCTTTTAGTATTAGCTTTGTTAATGTTAATGAGCTGGCTTATTAGTTTTCCATGCAGGGAGGTGCCAACCCACATCAACAATTAATGTGCATGTGTGTATCATTTTTTTTCACTCCACAGGTTATTGATTCATTAAACAATTGCCATATTTGTTTACGAGAGCTTGTTAACAAATGCTGGTGAACAAATATTTTGGATCAGCACAAACAAACTAATTTGTTATGCACGCACGCATAAATCGGCCAGCAAAACATACTTTCCCTCCAAAAGTAATTGCCAGCAAAATTTTACTCCCGCCAAATTGACAGAGTTACCTCACTATATAAGGCTGCCCATCTAGTACAATCCATTCGCATCTAGAGTTCTCGATCCCTGCGCACACTTGCAGTCAAAGGTAAAGAAACAAATCTACTATGGCTCTTTGCTATTCTCGCAATCCTATAGGATCCATTCGGCATTCCCCATTTTTTATTCACTGCATAGCCCTAGAGTACATCCATCTTTGAGAGATTACACCCACCACTGCCGGGACACAATCACACAACCACCATCTCCAAATCACTGCAGTCCTATGGATCTTCTGGCGGCGCTGGTGCCGCAACATCTACATATTGATGATAGCGTGGTGTCGCAGGGATATGACCTGCCCCTTCTGGCGTCCACTCTCTCCGTCTTGTTTTTCTGCATTTATGATTTGTGTTAATTTCCTAATTAGATGCAACTTAATATCCATTTTTAATTGGGATTCTCTTTCTTAGTTAATTTGGTTCTCAATCTTATAGTATATCGGTGTTTTGTGGGGATTTCTATCTTAGTCAATTTGGTTTGTAATCCTGTAGTAGATCTGTTTGTACTCATTTCTTATTTTGTAGGTCAAAATGGTTTCCCAAGTTCGTCCATCCGTGAACCAGATGGAGACTTCGGATGATGCTGCTCGACAAGTCATAACCAATACTAGGAATGAGGGACGGATGGGACCAACCGGAAACACAGGTATTTAACATATTTACCTTCACTTCATTAATCTATTCCTTCACAAGCAAATAAATTAAAATACTTCTTCCTTCAATTAGGTCTCAAACGTAGGAAAGGTAGGGGTCTCACCATTAATGGAACACTTGCAAAACTGAGAGCAAGGGGTGTGCCACTAGACATTCAATTTGCTGCACAGTTTGGAAAAGTCTATGGTAGGCACGCAAGTGTCTTTAAAAGTGAGGTCACTGTCTGTGTGCGACAAGAGGTCCCCCTTAAGGTGAAGAAGTGGAAAGTCATTGAAAAAGCTTTTCCTGGAACCATGTCATCAATTTGGAATTTATTGAAGGTATGTCATCTGGTTGGAGTTCTTGAATTTTCGGACACATTAGCATATTTCATTTGTACATTTTTGTTTTCTTTTTGCTGTCATGATTTTGTACATTGTTTGTTCATATGATCTACTATCATTCTGTAGGCAAAATTCCCTGAGATCTCAATGGCAGACTACCAATGTGTAATGACACAAGTTGAGCGAAAGTACAATGTAAGACGCCACAAACTGTACAAGACCTATTGCACAACAAAAACAGTGTCCTAGTCATGTTGCGCCAGAGGACTGGCAGTGGTTGATTGATAACTTATGGAGTGATGAGCAATTCCAGGTACTTGTTTAATTTTCTTTACAATTAATACAATATGATTCATAATTCATTATTCTTATGAGATTATTATGTTTTTTTAGAAACGGAGCAAACATAATTCCATTAACAGATCAAAGCAAGAGATGAAATCACATGTTGGAACAAAGTCTATAGTGCAAATAGCACATGAACTGGTAAGGAATATTGTCATTCACTTATATCTTTAAACTATATGTTTGACATGTCTTGTATATATAAATTATAAGGCTTCTTTTGTATGTGATATAATTGCAGAGAAACCTAGTGACAGGTGAATGGCCTAGTGCTATAGATGTTTGGAAGGCAACTTATTTGAAGAATGGAACATGGTCCGTTCCTAATGGCGAAGAAATTCTGGTAAACAAAAATGTCTGTTACCTACATTTTACTGCATGAGTTTTTTTAATATGGACTTACATATTTTCTTTGATTTGTTTAGAACAATCTGCAGACAGTAGCTGAAACAAACCAGGAAAGGATTGCAGCTGCTCAAATCCCAATGGTTGAACACTTTGCATTAGTCCTTGGCAGAAAGCCAAACCACTCGCATGGAGTTGGTATTAGTGCAATCAATGAGGGAGCTCAAGAGAGGTACAGAGTTAATGCACAAGCAGAAGCTGCACAACAGCAAGCCAATGAAGCACATCAACAAGCTGCTGCTTTGCTAGAAGAAGTTCAAAAATTGACAGTAGAAAACTTGCAATTAAAGGGCGAGTTGCAGTCTCAGCGTGAAGAGTTGAATTCTCAGAAAAGAACCGTAGAGGAACAAAGTGGTCACATGGAGTGTTTGTTGGCCCAGAAACTTGAGGAAAGAATGAAAGCAATGTGGGCACGCATGGGTGGCACTGGTGGTGCTTCATCTTCAAGTGTCCCAAACAATTAAGTAAGATTTCTTACGTCATACATGATTACTAATTCAATCTAGTGGTCATTCGATTAATGTTATTTTTAAATTATATGTAGGAAGTTCCAAGTTGACAAAGACTGGCGTCGTGGAGTTGCTACAAAGTTCTGTCCATCTAGGCGAGCATCCTAGAGTCCGTGTCCCAAGTTTCATTTGTTGCTTAGGTGTTCAGTTATCAATTTAGTTATGGTCTTAGTTAAAATGCTCTTTGTATGAGCACTTTGTTATCATTCATTAATAAAGGATAGTTTCCTCTAGTGTGAGGAACCCTTCTGTCACACCCCAATCCGGCACCGCCGTACAATGGCACCTGACAGGAGCGTGTCGTAGGAAAAACGGCGTGAACCGCTTCCTACGAAACCGCGATCTCAGTACCAGTCCCAGGACATAGTGCTGGTACCCACGGTGACAAATATGAATCATTGCAATCCTTAAAATAAATAGAGGACTTAATTACCTTAACTTAGTTGCAGCTCAGAACAGCCCGAGAATGCAATCGACGATGCGGACGAGGAAACACCAACAACAACAGCAGCAGCGGAACCAACGAACTAACACCCAACACCACAGGCGACGGCTGGGAACTAGGACGAAACCCTAATCTTCACTTTACTTCATCTTCAACTTTAGGGCGGAGGAACTATATATATTTATATAGAGCAAGGGTGAGTACTTTCGTACTCAGCAAGTCACGGGAATTTAGGTGTCTGATGCAAGCTTGGAAGAGAGGCAAGGTTGTTTTGCAAATCCTTTGTTTGAAACCACTTTTGAAATCACTAAGTGATTTATTTCTTTCTAAGTGTGGGCCGAAAAGAGACTTGCGTCTCGATTCGACTTTAAGAGATGCTTTTCAACAACTCAAATGGTAATGTACCGACCACCCGGGTCAGATCATTACTTCTCGGCTCCCAGAGCCATTTCACTTGATTAAGCGTCTCCCAGAGCCTTTTTCCTTTTTCTCGGACTCCCAAAGTCCTGCTGCCCAGCAGCACAACAATCCGCTTCTACTCGGGAAGCCTAGTCTATGATGCCCGCAGACATCCCGAATCACACAGATTCGTTTCTGACCACTCAGGTCATCCATCGGCCACATTGGCTGATTCTGGTTATGATTCCCACACCATAATAACTTTTCACAAAGCACAGGCAAACAAATCTAAGCAACGGGAACCACCTCACATCCGCCCATGACCGTGGGCACGGCTATTCGAACAGTTAGTTAACCTCTTCAGAGGGGTACCCCCAAGATACGAACTTATTCCGAACACCCGTCGGTGTCGGAGGTTCGCAACAAAGCCTTTCCCAAGCCGACCTAGGGATACCTCATGCCACATAGAAGGATCAAATCCTCACATAAATTTAGGCCATTTTAGTTTTCACAAATCAAACTCCAACCACCTCGATCGGTAATTCAGCAAGCTTCTCTTCCTTGCTTACCAGGAACCCGGTTTGGCTCCAACCGACCCCGCCCCGGCGTTCCCAACTATTGGCATGCGAGGTTTCCCTGAACCGACTAGTTACTTAGCCAGGGTGTCCCATTCCACCTTGTGGTTGCACTTTGATTATGTTCGATGAGTTTCCCACAGGAATCGGTCCTTATATGCGAATACGGGACAGTGCCACATAGGCACAACTCCCGCATCGCGAGTTTTCACAATTTATTTTATTTTCAAACACACCGACACCACATGTCGGGTTTTCAAGGCTTCTCAAACCCATTTCCCAAATTATCGACAATCAACGGTGTATGTGGAGTAGTTGGTATACGCGCTCAGAGAGCCGGATACCGAAGTACCACAAGGGTGGAGCGACAAGGAATCAGGGTAGTACGGCCTGCAGGAATTTGTGTGACTACTGGGTAGGTCCGTCGGTTTGACATGCAAACCGAGGCCAAGCATGTTATAGGTGTGATTCTAATAGTTCAAGTTGCAAACAAAATAATAATGATTTTTCAATTATAGGAGATATTGATCAAAGGGTGACTTGCCTTGCTAAAGGTCTTCGCGAAGCTTCATGAATCTTCGAGAAAACCACAATCGACGAAAATCCGGTAACCGCAACTATACGCAAACAATCGAAAACCTAAACAAAAGACCAAAATAAAGATCCTATTTAGACTAAATAATAGTGCCATTATATAGATCTCAATTTTATGGAATTACTGGAAGTTGAACGGAGTCAAACGGAGTTACGGATTGGGAGATATGGATTTCGGAGGTTTAATTGGAATATTTGGAATAGGAGAAATGGTTTATGGAATTTATAGAAATAATATTCTCAAGAATATTATTGACAGTCACTGACGTGCGGGACCAAAGAAAATGATTCATGGAATTTTGGGAATAAGGAATTGATTTGTGAAAAAGGGAAAAGGATTTATTAATCCCTTTGGATAAGAAAAGGAAGGAGGGATAGGAACCAGACTTTCCCGAGTAGCTTGGCGCGGCCCGAGAGGATTTGCGCGGCTCAGCCGAGCTTATTGGGCCGGTGCGGGCTACGGGGAGGCAGCCCAAGAGAGGGGCGCGGGGAGAGAGAGGGGGAAGGGGAGCCGGGTGGACCGGGCTCACCTCGCGGGGTCCCGAGTGGGCCCGCTTGTCAGTGAGGCGGTGCACGGTGGAAGCGGCGCACGCGGGAGCGGGCGCTAGGTTTTCGGAGGGAGACTGATCTCAACTGGCCTCGGTTTTTCCGTGGTTCGGGCGCGGCGCGCCGGGTGGACGAATGGCGGTGGGCCTACGTGCAGCCGCATGGCTTGCCATGGACAGCGCGCACGGGAGGGAAGACGGAGGGAGGGGGCAACTGACTGGCTTGGCCCGGTCAAAGCCGAGGTGGCGCCGACGTGGCGCCTACGTGGCAGCCACGCGGGCCGGCGGGAGGAGGAAGAAGGGGAGGCCGAGATGGACGGCGGACGGCGGCCAAGTTCACCGGAGCTCGTCGCGACGATTCGAGAGAGAGGGAGTACACCGGAACGATGGGACGGACGAGAGGAAGTGAACCACCGGATCGGATTCGCTGGAGGAAGGCGCACACCGGTGGCGAGAAAAGGGGGAAACTTCATCGGAGCAACGGGGGTTCGATTAAAAGGGGTGGAAGCATATCCTTGGTTCAAGGAATCCAGTTCCGGCGACGGATGGGACAAAGGAGTACCAAGGAGGGCCGGCGACGAGCGGTGGCCTCCGGGAGTGGACGGCAATGGCCGCGAGGCCATGCCAGGCGGCGGCGGGGCTCGGGGCGATGTCCACGCGCGTTCGGGAGTGCCACCGAGCTATCACGCAGACTAGAGGGGGCGAGGGAGAGCGAGGAAGGGGAACGGGAGGAGGCACTGCCGAGCCGGGACGGGCGCTGTGACGAGCGGCCGACGGCGCGGGAGCAACCTCTCCGACCTCGGGCCGGGGAAGGGGAAGATGACGGCGCCCGGAGTCCTCTTCTCGCGTCCTTCACACGCACCGGTCTCCCTGGTGCTTCGGCGACGGATGGTAAGGGCGACTGCAGGGCAGGGGCGACAAGGCGCGATTGTGGCGACGAGAGAAACGAGTGAGGGAGATGGGAGGGGCTCGGGTTTTTATAGGTGGCGATGTTGGTTTGGGAGAACCGACCTTGGGTCGTTCAAGGAGAGGAGCTGTCGGTCGGGCGTGGTCAAGGTGGTGGCAGGCGGTGACGCTGATGGTGGTCGGGCAAAACGAAAAAGGAGGAGGAGAAAGGGAGCTCTGCTCCTTGCTGTTTCGGGAAAAGTTGAAGGAGGGAGAGGGAGTAAGTGAGGGGGGCTGCCTCTCTCGGCTTTGGAAGATAGCGGCGTGGAGCGGCAGAGCGGCAGCGCACGACGCAGGCGACGCCAGGGCTTGACGCGGCGGCAACCGAGCAGTCGGCCACGCGCGAGCGCGCGGGAACGAGCGAAGGCGGTGGAGGTTTTGGGCGGCGACGGCGGGAAGCGGCGTCGACGCGAGAGAGAGAAAACGAGAGAGAGGGAGATCCTTCTCTCGGCGATGGCTCGTGCAGCGCACGTGAGGGAGATGGCAAAGGGGAGAGATGGGCTGGAGAGTGGATCCGGCCCATTCAAAACAGGGAGAAGGCAAAAATAGACTTTTACAGAGAAGACTGAATTGGAGCTTGGATTTGAATCGAGATTTGAATTCAAATTGCATATTTGAACTCAGCGAAATACGGAGGAGCCAAGGAATGGATTCAAGGTGGACTCGGACATTTTGGAATCGGGACAGGTATTTGGCGAGGATTCAAAGGAGGCGATTGAATTTCGGAGACTTGAGTCGGAATTGGAATTTTGAGGTGGGCGATTTTGATGGCGACGAGGGGGAACAAAGATGGAGATTGAATTGAGATCTTGGCACAACTTAGACTCGCACACAAATAACGGAATTTTTGAAATTAGGATTTTGCTGAATTAGTTTTTAACGTCTCACAAAAAGCGGAGCGTTACACCTTTTTAGTTTAGGTGATATTTCAATTGAGTTCTGAAGTGCTCTATTCCGAGCATACTGTAATCATTCATGAATAAAGGGGTGCTCAGTTATGAATGTTTGAACTTGCCATTGCTCTATCGAGATTTCATCATTAGATTTTGTCATTGTTCACATGCTGAATATTGTCATAAAAGACGTGTTGTTTGTGGCAAGACTTTAGTCACATATATAAAACTTGCATCTGGATATTTAATTTTTTAGTGATAAAAGTTTTCCTTACAGCAATACCCTTTTTTCTCCACTGATGCATTACTTCATATGTGATAAAGGTATTGTCACATATACATATTAGCTTGGTCACTACTACATTTGTAAAGAATGACCAGTTTTCGCAACAAATAACACGTCATTTCACCACAATATATCTTACTTCTTGTGGTTTTTACTTCTCAATATAAACTAATATCTTATCACAAAAACCCTATCATATGTGAGAAAAGTTATTAGCAAAGGTATATTTGTGATGATGAGTTATCGGTAATTAGTAATATGTAGTGACGAGCAAACCAGCACTAACCGTCGACAATATTGTGAGAAAAAAATTCCATCACTACACGTTCACATATGTGAGGGCACTATTGTCACTAGTGTCTCCTGTAATTGTGACCACGATACCATCTCTAATGTACTGCTTATTAGTTGCGATAGGATTATCACAAACAGAGCCATTATCTGTGATGAAAAAAAAAATCATCACTATGCTACTTGTGACGCCAGTAGTGGTGACAACATAGTGACGACCCCAAAATTCGTCACAAGGGGGTAATTGTGATGAGAAACAGCCTTTTAGTGATGAAGTTTTTCATCACAAAAGACATGATCCCTTGTGGTGCTAGAAGTGTTGGGTTGAAGGCCTTGCACATCTTCTGGGTTCTTTGCATAGGTGAGGCAAGTGGTTAATCGAGACCTGACTCTTTGGAGCACCTCAACGGAGAGTAGGATCGAAAGATCCTAACTTCGGGAAAAAAATCGCCCTTGTCTTCTCTGTGATGATTCTGTGCATGATGCTATGATTGTGTATCTGCTCTGTCTTACTGCAGTTTAATTCGTGCAATTTGGTTTAAGTGTCTGCTAGCTCTTCAGGTTTTTCTGTTGCCCAGAAGTTCCGGTGTTTAGAACACCGGAAGTTCTAGACAGTCTGAGCAGACCGGAAGTTCCGGTTCTGCTGAATTTTACCACTGCAATTTGTTTGTGAATTTCAGTAAAACCTATTCACCCCCCTCTAGGCTACATCTCTGTGCGTTCAGATAGTTATATAGGATTTATAGATATAATAATGGACTCGAATTGTCATAATTTGAACTGATGTGGCAAAAATACAATAGTTTTCCCAGAATGGTACACAATACAGTATGTTGTCACCATAGAAACAAAATCACAATAGCAAAAGGGATACTATAAGAAATACAATCTATGGTGATCAGCGGTACAAATACGACATATTTGGTGGTCATATATATGAGTCTAACTACTGTTGGTGCCTCCATTTCAGATAAGCTGGCCAACCAAAGATAATCAGGAAGGGCCAAAATGAGTGCAGAAAGTTTCGAAGTATCTTCCTGCCCAAAATCCACCACACCTTAAACCCAATCCTTCCCTGTAAGAGCACGGCCATGCGGATCTGTGTCTTCATTGACGTATGCCCGTGCAATAACCCAACGGAACACATGAGGCAGATAAGCAAGGCAGTCTTGTGAGCAACTGGTGCCAGGACAACGTATAAACCTAATGCAAATGCAGCTAGCAAGCACCTGATTGATAGCCAGACCAAGCTATTGGCCGAGTTAAGGTGCTCCAAGCGGATGCTGTAGTCAACTTTGGTCATTCCTGAATACACGAGGCTAAATGTAGCCAACAAGGAGTAGACGAATGCAAATGTGATGGCCAAGACGAATGCATCGAAACCGTAGCTTCCGACGAATGTCGGCGTGCCGCCATTGGTGTGATCATCTGCTCTATAACCTCCAGGCAATGTAAAAGCTGCTGCGAATGCCACAGTTGCAATGAGTGTGGAGCAGACGGCCATAACTTGTGTAGACTCCGTAATTGTCTTTGAATCTTCTTGTTCATCGTCATCTTTTTCAACTATTTTAGAATCTCTTTCCTCACGGACCGTTCGGCAAATGCACTTCTCTTGACGATGGTCAAGGGAAGGGTTAGCATGATGTGCATTCGCAAGATGTAGTGACCTCTTTATCCAAATTCGTTGATGCTGTAATAAGCACAAGCATGCATGAGCATCAAGAAGTACATACCAAATTTGTGCAAAAAGAACATGCATTTTCCGCGCGGGGGTGGGGAGAGGGGATTGTTATTACCGATCCATGAAGAAGCCCTTCTGGTATCAGCTTCCTTGATATATCTAGAGGTGTTAGACCCTCCTTGTTCAGACAATCAACTTTTACTACTGGGTTCATCAATAGACATAAAACAGCATGCAGATCCCCATCTTGTATAGCCAAGTGTAGGGCGGTGTTTCCATCGTTGTCCTGCAAATTCATAATTTTAGCTGCCAGCCTTCTTCTCCTGCGAACAAACATTATGATTGTGTGTCTTCCGTTCTCAACAGCAATATGCAGAAATGTTCTTCCCTGGGCATTGCGCAAGGTGGCACAATTGGGGCTCTTATTGAGCAGTATGTTGATCGTGCCATCATTACCCTCTGCTGCAGCGACATGGATGGGGAAAGAACCCTTGTCGTCAGGCTGATACGCTGAGGATTCATCAGCATCCATCAACATACCAGTCAGAGTCAAGCTATCTCCCCTGGTTTTCCTAGGATAGAGGAACCGGTCCAAACAAAGAGTGTATATGTCTATGTGGCGCATGATGGAGAACAATATCTTGTGGTAATATGGAATCTTCGTGGGTGGTTCTATCGATACAGCAAAATGGAGAGGTGTCCGGCCGTGTGAGTCACCTTTTCCAGTAAGGTCCCTGTTCCAATTCAAAAGCATTCCGGTCGCATCTGCATGCATTTGGAACTTTCTTTAATATCTTTTTTTAAGAGTGGGCAAAAGTTGTGCCTCCTATATTGATATAATAGGAGAAAATTATACAAAGATATGTATAGGGCTTGTCAAAACCACATGCCCAGAAAAAAAAAAAAGACCCTAAGTGATATCTTCGAAAATTCCAAACACCTGACACTAGTAAAATACCATCATAGGTGCCGCTTGGGAACCGGCTATAGGTGCCAGTTTTCCAACCGGCACCTATTGGTCGGCACCAATAAAAACAACCGACCCCTATACCAAAATAGAACCGGCACCTATAAGTTTGCACGAGCCAAAAAAAAAAAGAGCCGACTCGAATCGAGCCGGAACTCACAATCATCGTCACTACTCCATCCCCAAACCCCCACAAATCACGAATCACAAATCACATATCACAGATCACAGATGAAACATATTCAGAAATAAAATCATCCACAAATCACAAAAAAATCTAAAAGAACTATAAAATCATCCAACAAATCCATCGGGCGCCGCTGGCGCCACCGCCTTCGCTGGACCGCCGCCCGACCGTCCCCGACGTCCACCACCTCCCCTCCGTCCAGATCTAGCGGAGGGGAGGGCACGGCCGCCGCCAGCCGCCTCCGCCGAGGTCCGCCGCCAGCCGCTGTGCCGCCTCCGCCGAGGTCCGCTGCCTCCTCTCCGGCCGGATTTGGCGGAGGGGAGGGCGCGGCCGCCGCAACCGCCTCCACCGGACCACCGCCCGGCCGTCCCCAAGGTCCACCACCTCCCCTCCAGCTAGATCCGGCGGAGGGGAGGGCGCGCCGTTGCCAGCCACCGCCACGCCTACCTCGACGGGCCACCGCCGGGCCGCCGAGAGAGAGAGAGAGAGAGGGATAGAGGGAGGCGAGAGAGAGAGGCGAGAGAGCAAGAGCGAGAGAGAGACGTGAGCGACTCGGTCGGATGGATGGATAAGGCGGATGGATAAGGACGGGCGGATGGATATGGCCGGCTCGGCTCCATATAGGTGCTATTTTTTTATACAAAACCGACACCTATAATTTATTTAAGGTGCCAGTTTTTAAAAACCGGCACTTATAATTTAGGTGTCGGTTTTGTATAAAAACCGGCACCTATACTATAATACCGGTTTTTCTTTAAAACCGATACCTATAATTGCTTAAAGGTGTCGATTTTATGTGTTTTTAGCCTACGGGGGAGAGGAAAGCATTATAGGTGCTGGTTTTAACTATTCCGGCACCTACAGTGCCGATCTCTATGAGCTTATTTCTAGTAATGTGAACTTCCTTAATCTCATACGAGTAAATCTCATAAAATTACATATGCTTTGATCAAATGATCATAAATCTATAATTTAAGGAATGTATAATAAAACTAGAAATTTACAACAAAGCTTATCATTAAAATTTAAGGTGGAGTATGAAGAAAAACTACAGATTTAACAAAAGTGGGTTACCACAACACTATTTTAGAGTTTAAATCCCTAACAGTGCTAAAGTGGGTTATCACAACACTATTTTAGAGTTTAAATCCCTAACAGTGCTGCTGTTAGATAGGAGTTTATATACTTTGTAGTTTTGTGGTTAAATGGCACTAGACTTGTAGTTTTATTATAACTTTATTATTAATTCTATAGTTTTGCGATGATCCATCTTAAATTTGTAGTTTTGTAATATAAGTAGCTTTGTAATACTCCCTCTGTCGCAAAATATAAGCATTTTTAGAATAGTGCCAAATCAAACATTTTAATTTTTAACTACTAATAGCAAAAGGATAAAAAAAGATTAATCATGTAAATTTGATGCTACTATATTTATTGTTAAACGAACTATTATAATATGCAACTCTTTTTATTTAAAATAATTTACTTTTGTAGATATTTGTTGGTCAAAGTAGCATCTCGAAGACCGTGCCAAGGTCTAAAAAAACTTATATTTTGGGACGGAGAGAGTAGATCATTTAAAATATACAGTTTTGTGACAATTTGATCAATTTGAAATTTACTCAAAATTATATTGACTATATAATATATTTTGTCCTATATTGACCCTTGCTTGCTTCAAACATGTCTCTATATATATTGACTAAATTACATATGTGTATTGTATTATTCCAGTTTCCAATTACTTATATCCACATAAATGAGATCTGAAAGTTGTTGTACAATTCAAGTGTATATTTCAATCACAAAACTTACATGCTAGAGATATCACTTTGTCATTTCCTTTCTCTAATTTGGAACCTCCGTTCCAAATTGTAAGTTGGTTTAACTTTTTTTTTCCCTCTTGATATATGAATAGTACTGTATTATGTGGCATGCAGTGATTGCAATTTTTCGGAACAAAATTAATTCCAAAATTTCTGTAATTTCGCCCCCATCGGCAAGCACATACCTTGCCTGAATTTTTTGTTTTTTTCCATTTTCTATGAATTTGATCAAATTTTATTCAAATTCATCCAAGTTTCAAAAAAAATTGGCCAAAAAAGTACAAAAAAATTCGGTTCTTTCAGCCACCCCAGGCAAAAATCGTAATTGGAGATTGCTAACCCTGGTGGCATGCGTAATAGACAAATTGAAATACTACTTGAAACATATATAGAGTGAAAACTGAAGTTGATAGAAAGAAGAAATATGCCAGGATCAAAAGGCCAAAAAAGAAAGAAGTACTGTGAATCGAACCATATATGCATTTGTTATTATATATTGTGGGATCAAACAGTACACGCACAAGGTATTTGTGAATTACGTACCTCTTTGTCGAAGAACAGCAGCGTGCAAGACATTTTGTCCGTCAGGTCCCGAGTAGGACAGCATTTTATCATACCCATGCAGCTGCATCGCAACTTGTGGATTTGGCAAGATCACAGCCAGATACAACGGTGAAGTGGCGCCGTTGCTTGGATGACGAGCTAGCTCTGGATCTTCCGTCATCAGCTTGTCGATCAAATCTTTGTTGCCGAGGCGGACTGCCTCGTGCAACACCGTCTCATGCTGGTGGTTTTTTTTCCTCAGGATCAGCTTCTTCCGTTGATCGCCGGCGCCATCGCCTCCAGCCAGCTCGAGGAGATGCGTGACCATCTTAACATTCCCAGCTCTGGCAGCGCAGTGGAGGGGCGTATCGCCATTGTTGTTGGTCGCCTCGAGGAGGTGCCTGGCCTTGCCATAGATCAGCCTTGCGCTCTTCAAGAAGTCGCCGTCGTCTCCGCTGCTCGCCACCACATGCAGCGCGGAGTCCCCCTGAAACGTGGTTCCCTCCAGGAGGGACAACGTCCCTTCATCTTCACCTTCACCTGCAGTAGTAGAGGGTGGTGGTAGTAGGGGTGCAGAGCGATAAACCTCCAGGACGACAGCGTCGTCGTCTTGGCTGGTCGTCGTCGTCGTCGTCGTCGGTGCCGGCGACTCATCGTCGTGTAGGACACCTAGGAGAACGCGCAGCCTCTGGAGATCGCCATGACTGGCGGCTCGTAGTAGCTCCGGGAGCATTACCACCTTGGGCTTGCATTCGCAGCCGGTGTGATCCTTTGGCGCCCGCTCATCATCCGGACGCGCCTCCTGCTGCTCGGTGGTAGCCGACGACGGCACGGCCTCATTTGCCGTCGCCGCCGCCGCCGCCGCGGCGGTATGCGCGGCTTCTCTCCATTGTTCCACGTCATCGTGTGGCCTCCTCCCTTCAGGCGTCGGTACGGTGCTGTCGGTGCACCCGGATCGACGTCAGATATTGATCATCTGTTGGAGATGTGGGATTCCTAAATACTGCTTTAGTTTACCACCTCTGATAAAGAGTACGCATATGATGATTATGTCGGGTTCCGTATTACATACTACTCCGGACTATATAGTGCATAACATAGGTGAGTACTCACTTTGGTGAGCGCTTTTTTCCCCAATTGCATATAACATCGGTGGAGATGGCAACAAAATCCGTGCAAATTAATTTTTGGCATTTGTAGTGTTGAAAGCTTGTCATTGCTACCTTTATCCTTTTTATTTCCCTATTATAGCTAGTGTGCAAGTTTTGTTCATTGTTATGTTTATAGTTCATATATAGTTGAAATAGCACATAAAGCATGCATTCCTTTATTTTATTGTTTCGTAGGTATTAACATGCTGGACATAAGTTCAATTGGAAACCTTGTACACATGGTTTTATATATCCAGATGGAACCCATTTCATCTCTTCTCACATTATCAAAACTGGACGTGACTCCGGCTTGGATGACCGAAGGGAGGAGGTTAAAATCGGGCATGACGTCAGTGTCCGATTTACGTGCAAAACTACTTTAAACTGATTTTTCTCTTAAAATACTTATCCAAATCATGATCCGATTGCACCATTAAATTCGTTACAATTAAATCTTCAAAAAAAGATCACACAGTGATATATTCCGACGAAAAAAAATTAGCTTATTATTGAATTATTTTTAAATGTTGCATGATGTTCCACCAGATATACCGGAATTGTTTCACTAAGTAGATCGAAAATGTTTCACTCGTTTAAATCGGGTGTTGTTTCACCTTATATAAAAACAATGTTTCAGCAAATAGCGAAAGAATATTTCAGTTCACTGCAACATTTGATTCATACATAGTGAAACATTATAATTGCACTAGGTGAAACATTTTTCGGTAGAAAAAAAAATGAAACGAATTCCCTTAATAGGGGTTTCCAAAATATGTGGGTTTTTTTGTTGCAATGGAATATTTCAGTTCACTGCAACATTGGATCTATACGAAACATTGTGAGTACACTATGAACAAAAAATAAACTAAATTCCCTTAATAGAGGGTTTCCAAAATATGTGGGTGATTTATTGCAGGGGGGCAGGGAGCCAGGGACTGTGGTGGGGCCCAGGTGGCATGCACGCGTGCAGGGTGCAGGGGGCAGGGGGAGCGTCCGATTTTTGCTCCCCCCGCTAGTAGACCGATCCCTGTCATTCTCGAGTCTACGGGTCGGGCGCCTGATCGGTTTGGAGAAAAATCGGGCGCTGATGACAGCATGACGTCAACGCCCGATTTACGTGCAAAACTACTTTAAATTGATTTTTCTCTTAAATTACTTATCTAAATCATGATCTGATTGAACCATTAAATTCATTGCAATTAAATCTTCAAAACAAGACCACACATGGATATATTCTGACGAAAAAAAATTAGCTTATTATTAAATTATTTTTAAATGTTGCATGATGTTCCACCAGGTATATCGGAATTGTTTCACTTAGTAGATCGAAAATGTTTCACTCGTTTAAATCGGGTGTTGTTTCACCTTATATAAAAACAATGTTTCAGTAAATAGTGAAAGACTGTTTCAGTTCATTGCAATATTTGATCCATATATAGTGAAACATTATAAGTACACTAGGTGAAACATTTTTCGGTGGAACAAAAAATGAAACGAATTCCCTATTATAATAGGGGTTTTCCAAAATATGTGGGTTTTTTGTTGCAATGCAATATTTCAGTTCACTGTAATATTATATCTATACATATTGAAACATTGTCAGTACACTAGGTGAAACATTTCTGGTGGAACAAAGAATAAACCAAATTCCATTAATAGAGGGTTTCTAAAATATGTGGGTGATTTGTGGCAATGGTAGGTGGGAGCAGAGAATGCGGTGGGGCCCATTTGGAGAAGCAGTTTCATAGTTACTTCTACAGCGGGACCCATGAGATGAAGCTTTCTGATTTGACATCAATACAAAGGCATGATGAAACTGTGCAAGATTACATCCAAGGTTCAGAGATATGAGGAATAGATGCTACAGTTAGCCGATCTTGCTTTCCAAGGTTTGATAACTCCGATTAAAGAGTTCTCATCTCAAGACTTTGAGAGCTTGTCTCATCTGGCGCAAAAGGTGACTCTACATGAGCAGAGGTTTGCAGAGGCTAAGAAGAATTTCAAGAAAGTCAATCAAGCGTATCCCTATATGTATGATTCTGAAGAGGAAGATGACTTTGAGGTAGCAGCAGCTGAGTGGGTGAGGAGTAA